TGCGTGAATGAATTCTCCAGCGTGATCTGGCCGCGCTGCAGTCATGCAGCCAGTCATGCTTAAACGAGACACCTGTCTGCGGCTGTTTCTGAGTTCAGTGTGCATCGGCTTTGCCGTTGTTATTTCGGTCACCTGGTCTATTGCTCTGGATTTTCCCACGCTAAAAACTAATTTCTCTAACCGTACGAGCTTGCGAAGCAGCTGCAAAAACTACCCGCGTCGGCTGTGTGCCCACTGTGGGCACAAACCCAGCCGCGGGCCGTCGCACATGAATCATGAGACACATGGAGGCACTAGATACCAGGTACGATGGTAATAACTAATACATAGGATTCAATAGCCGCTAGATGAAATGGCACCTATGCCACCACAGAGTTTGGTGTACGGAAAACTGCACACACACTGTTCTATGTTCTGAGCAACGTGTGCGATGTCCGGCAGGTGGCAGGCTGCGGCCGGATATTACTTTTGGTAATCCGCTTGGTCATCAGTGCGCAGTTAAGTGGGCACAAACCCAGCCGCGGGCGCTGCTCGTGATACTCATACAGCTGTACTAACAATCAGTAGAACGCCCACCGTCGCTGCTACGACGGCACCACAGCAAAAGGCGAACACTGCGATGCCACCAATCAACATCAGTATTTTCCCGCGAACAGCCTCGTCACTTCTCCCAAACGACCGCGAGAAACACATCCGCTGGCATATCCCCAGAATAGCGTCGCACCAACACCGGTGCCGATTCCGCCACTATAAAACCGCCGAGACGCTCACCAGTATTTAGGGCAGTCAACTTCTATCTTGAAAGTCTGTTTTCACTGCAAAACACGCGTCTTTTCTTCTTCTTTATCCGCAACCATGAAGTGCATCCTGATGACCCTTCTCCTGGTGGCCTGCGCCAGCGCCAACGTCCTGCGTGTACGCCGACAAATGACCGGTGGCTCGGCCGGCTGCACGGCCGAACAGCACGCCATGTGCGGTAAGTGTCATCGGCGTTTTCTAAACATATTAACGACGTCCCTTTGTGTTAACACATAAACAGTAATGTTATTTTTTGTCACGATCACCGTTGAAAAATAATTAATCTGAATTGCTTCCCGGTTTACAGGTATGGCACAGTGCCAGAACAACGGTAACTCGAACACCCAGGTGGTCAGCGGCGGCAACAGCGGTGGCGGCGGGCTCCTCAGTCTGGTGCCGATCAACGCCCTCAACGGAGCCGGTGTGCAAGCGCCCATCAACGCCAACATCTGCCCACCCATCTCCGTCTGCAATACCTGCTTGGCTGCAAATGTCCTCGGTTAAACAAATGACAGGTGTTCTTAGGTCTCCTCAATGTACGCACGTTGTGCATTGTAAATGTGATGCCGCGGTTCCTCATTATCCACTTTGTAGATAATTTCTGAATGATGATATTATTAATTTCATAAGTGATGGAACGAAGACTTTCCTTCTGGCCAGCGTCTTTTGTGGAGACTGTTCAAAATAAAATCATTGATTAACTACCGTCGAGTGTTGCCTCAGAATTTGGATGAAATCAGCTGCTGGCTTATACGGCAACGTATTAAAATAGTAAACGGCTAGATATAGCCACGATTAATATTAGTCATGATCAATATTAGTCACGAAGGCTTATGTAGGAGCAAGGTATATAAGAGATAAATCTCTGGTAGCGGCAGCCGCTGGAATCTGCTGTATAAAAATTCAGTACTTTTCGGCATGTTTTCGTCAAAAGCATCCAGTTGTAACAAAGTGCTCAAAGATGTGACACGACCTGCTCAGGTCCTGCTGCTTATCAGCCGTGTGGAGTTTTTCAAAACGGATGCACATCGTCTTATTAGTTTTTTATGCTTTCCATGCTCGTTATTGATCTGACAAGAATTATGACTTTTACATAAGTCGAATATGGCTATGAATGAACGTAATAGGAGTCGTAGAAGCAGTCCACGTGAGTGCGGCTGTAAGGCGCAGCCAGCGCTGCATGCCTGCCCTTTGTCTTCACATACCCGATTCAAGCCGCATTTCTACTATAGACGACTCCGATGTTTTTTAAATTAAAATCAAATTTGAGATTCAGAATCATTCAATATTTTCGTTTCTCATGCCGTGATCCTTGTACTGGTGACATAGCAGAGATAGGTGACGCAGGTAATTAAACTTTATGGATGGTCCTAAAGAATGTAAATGCACAGCGACGATGTAAAAATTAATTGCGGTAGCGTGGAAGTAAAACATCCGGTACATGTACCCGATCTTCGTCCCGTCCCGGGCAACATCCTTCACACTGAAGCAGCCATAATACAGTAAACCGCGGCACAACTCCAGCTGTCGTGCTGCGCAGTTTCTTCTCATCGACTTTTGGTTAGAAACAATGTGCTAACAACAAGTACTCTATAAAACACCAACCTCTTCGGCATTCATTCGGTGGATCAAACGACGGGTCTCGGTTCCAGCTGACAAGGGTGACCCACACTCTCGTAGCAGTTTTTCGTGATGTTGCTCATTTTCCTGTTCTTTGCCCATGATCCCTTGGTTTGATTTATTGCAAGACAAACCGGGATGGTGATTCATTTCCTCTAGTTTTCCATATGCTATGCAGTTATGGGCTGTTTCTCCTGGCAAAAACTGAAACGCGAGGTTATTCCTATCCGTACTCCTTCATCTGCCACAAAAGTACTGAGTGAGTCATTTCGTATGTATGGCACCATGTGCCAGCATGTCGTATTATTGATCTTTAGTTGTATTTAGTTTAGCGAGAGATTCACGACAATAAGTATGAGTTCGTGACAATCATCAATAGCTCACAGTATTATTACTCGTATATATCGTATTAGTTGTCCTAAACGGTGCGGTATTGCTGTTTGCCACAACCTCGCACCACCACTTGGATGCTCTCAGCACCTTTTACCGCATTTTGCACACCCACTTCCTTTTTAAACTGAATTCCACCACCACTTTTCGACTACTGCCACCTCTTTCAAACCCGTTTTATCGTTATCGCCCCGTATTTGCAAAACAGCCAGTATTCGTGCAACTTCCTCGTCCCTGAAATGTTTAGGCTCAACATGTAGTCGTACAGAAGTCGTAAGATCATATTAACGCAGTTGCTGACATTGCGTGTTAATTAGGCATCTTCTCTTCTGTTATTTCTAAATACAAGGCATCTACAGTACTTCTTGCGGTGTATTTCTTACTTCAGAGTGCCGGAAAATGGGGGCCTCTGATTTTTTGGTATTTTTTTAAGCTTTCTTTAAAATTTTGCCATGAACTGAAAAGTACCGGTAGTTCGGCGCTTTCTGGTGCATTTTCAGTTGTGCTGGTTTCTGCACCAGGCGCTCCTCATGATTCGATGCCGTCAAGTGTGTGCTTGTACTATATAATGCCGACGCTGCGCGGCAGTGCTACCGGCATTTTAAAGGCTTCAACTTTTAATGTAATATTATCAATATTCCGTTTTCTAAGGTCTATAAAAAAATTTCCGTATTCCTATTCAAAGTATGGACGTATAATGAGTGGTGGAACAGTCAAAATGTGGCGCTACACAGAGGTGTAAAAAATTGCTGAAGGTGGTTTCAAAACTTAATTAGAAAAAGGGGTGCGAATAATCAGGATGTGATAAAAAAGGGGGTGAAACAGCCAAAGGTGGTGCCACCGACACGGTGGTGATAACAGCCATTTCTTATCCTAAATACAGTTATCATGCCATAGCTGTTGCCATGCAGTCGAAATGGCTGTTAAAGTATCAATGGATTTTATCATAACAAAGAATTATCAGGCATTTAATACCGTATTTTGCCTGATTTTCTGTCCCAATGGACGAAAACGTCAATGAATCCGTTTCGATGCCAATTATACTGCCTTCTCCTAAACCAGTAGACATCCCTTCTACGGTCTACCCGTAGATAGGGCAACACATCTGAGTTAGCGACCGTGGCACTGCCCCGACCAGTGCACATCTATTGGGTGAATGATTTCTCCAGTATGATCAGGCCTAATACGGCCATGCACAGTCACGCTCAACGGCTCAAGCGAGACACCTGCCTGCGGCTGATTCGCGGCAAACGTGTGCATCAGCAGTTGATGTTTCGCTCAGCTGGTCTATTGTTCTGGCTTTCCCCACGGTAAACAACTAATTTCTCCATCGTACGAGTATGCGAAACAGTTGCACAAATGATCCGCCTCGGCTGGGTCTGTGCCCACTGTGGGCACAATCCCAGCCGCTGGCCTTTGCACATGATACACATGGAGGCACCGGATACCCATACCTCGTATGCTGGTAATACATGGTACTCAGTAGCAGCTAGAGGAAATGGCACCACAGAGTCTGGTGTACGGAAAACTACAACACAAGGTGCTCGATGTTTTACGCAACGTCTGCGATGTCCGGCAGGGAGCAGGCAGCGGCCGGATCTACAAGTGGTGCCATTTTATTTAGCGGCTGCAGTATTATTTCATCTGTAGACTGATGCATACTGTAAGCATGCAGAATTTTACTAACAAGAATGCTCAGATTCAGACATTCGGGTATCTTCCAACGCCTATGTAGGTTTTTTGTGCATTATGCGCAGTAGAAACGACTGGTAACGTGTGTCATCACGATCCGGAGCTTATCTATGCTCTGAATGGTCAAAACAACTATACCGCACGTATTCGAGATACCGCGCTGCAGAGCTCCGTTTTTTTAACATACCCGTTCTTATCTCTATGAATCATAGCTTATGCACCATGGTGCGCTGCACTGGCCGTATACCAGCCAACAGAGAAAGATGTCTGACTCTTCGTAATATTAGTTTTGGTAAACCGCTTGATCATCAGCGCGCAGTTAAGTGGGCACAAACCCAGCCGCGGGCGCTGCTCATGATACTCAAGCAGCTGGTACTATATACAAGCAGAACGCACAGCGTCGCTGTTACGACGGTACCCAAGCAAAAGGCGGAACACGCCGGTGCCAGCAGTCAACAGCAGCATTTTTCCGAGAGCCGCCTCGTTATTTCGCGCAAACGACTGACGGAACACATGCGCTGGCACATCCCCAGAATAGCGTCGCACCAACACCGGCGCCGGTTCCGTCAGTATAAAACCGCCGAGGCTCTCATCAGCTTTTAGAGCAGTCAACTACTTTCTTCAAAATCTGTTTTCTTCGCAAAGTAAGCGTCTTTTCTTTTCTGTTATCCGCAACCATGAAGTGCATCCTGATGACCCTTCTCCTGGTGGCCTGTGCCAGCGCCAACGTCCTGCGTGTACGCCGACAAATGACCGGTGGCTCGGCCGGCTGCACGGCCGAACAGCACGCCATGTGCGGTAAGTGTCATCGGCGTTTTCTAATCGTAAACATACTAACGACGTCCCTTTCTATTAACACGTAAACAATAATGTTATTTGTTGTCACGATCACCGTTCAAAAATAATTAATCTGGATTGCTTCCCGGCTTACAGGTATGGCACAATGCCAGAACAACGGTAACTGGAACACCCAGGTGGTCAGCGGCGGCAACAGCGGTGGCGGCGGGCTCCTCAGTCTGGTGCCGATCAACGCCCTCAACGGAGCCGGTGTGCAAGCGCCCATCAACGCCAACATCTGCCCACCCATCTCCGTCTGCAATACCTGCTTGGCTGCAAATGTCCTCGGTTAAACAAATGACAGGTGTTCTTAGGTCTCCTCACTGTACGCACGTTGTGTATTGTAAATGTGATGCCGCGGTTCCTCATTATCTGGTTTTATAAGCACTTTCTACTTGCTTTATTCAGTTTGTTGCCATTAGCTTTATGAGTGATGGAACTTGGGCTTGCCATCTGGCCACCGTCTTTTGTGGAGACTATTCAAATAAATCGTTGTGCAACTATTGCGCTCGAATGTTGACTCAGAATTAGGACGAAACCTGTTGCTTGCGTAAACGGCAGCTAGCGGCGTTGTTAAACCGTTGTTAAACGTCTAGCGGCGTTGTTAAACCATGTACAGACTGTATGGCACAACCAAGGTGAATAAGGGATACATCCACCTTGGCACAACGTTCAGCAGATTCAATATTCCGCACAGGCGCACACGGCATTCTGATGCCAGAGAATGTGGTTATGCATTGAGATAATTCGGTGAACTTAAATAACCTGACGTGCTCTTGCCTACGTATATCCAGCTACCGCATCCTGAGGCAAATGAAAGTAGTCATTCATCGTTCAAAACATATCGTACATAAAAATTTAGTAGTACATCAGTACATAATAAGATAACGTTCAATTTGGTCAGTGTGCACCGGCGATATTGCGTTTCTACAAATTTCTCACGGAGTAGTGATATGTACTGTAAAGCAGAAAAACACATGTGGAAACACAAACCGTTTTTCGGCTCCGGGATGTGTTCCAAGTTCGACCATGGTTGAGTTAAAGGAGGCATCGTTGCCAGTTCAACTTGCCACACTGGTGGACATTATCACGGTCAGAAAAATGGAGCCAATCTGTAGCATTTTGAGGTTGGACTGTAATCAGTGGTGCGAGTGCTTAAGTTCGAATTTGCGTGGAAATTTCCCCGGGATTGTTACTAGCAGGTCTTCTTAGGTTCTGCGGAAACTGTAAACATTCTACGTGTAACCCTGGTGGCATTCGAGGACCTAGTGAAACGCCGATATTCGAGTGGCCGCACTTGTCAGGCAAACGAAAAAGGTGCAACTGTTATCATCTAATAGATCAAGGTAGGCTTTCTAAGATCCATCTAATAAGCCCAATGTTAACGATCTGATATTTACGGTTGCGATTTTGTAGTGAGGCGCAAACACCTAAACGAATATTTTCGTTGCTCAGGCAGTGCGCTTTTTATACTCGAGACATAACTAGTAACTTTGTTGAAGGTTTCAAAGAAAGCCAATGTACAGAAAGACCGACGATGAAAAAATTAACTGCAGGTGCGTGAAATATCCGGTGCATATACCCGATCTTCGTCCCATGTACCAGGCGACTTCGTTTACCATAAACCAAACGGTTATGACCGATGCTGGCAACCCAGCGCGACTCCGGCTGCGCTGTTTGTTGTCACCGATTTTTGGTTTGAAATTATGTGCTAACAACAAGTACTCTGTACAACCACATGCCCCTCGGCAGTCATTCGATGAATCAGACGACAGGTCGCCGATGAAATGGCCGCAGATTCAACTGTGCTCGCGACAACATGGTTAAGTGCAGTACCCACTGCGTCAGCGTTGACAATGTCCTTATGTCTAATCGCCGCAGATCCTCCCCTGTCCAGCCACCCTTCCGACGGTAGCGGTTTGTTGGGCGGGGATCGTTGCACTGATAGGTCTCCAGTAACTACAGTTATCAGCAAAGAACAGTCATCTGGATTAATTTCGAAATTAACAATAGCCCTACCCGCTTAATGGTGGCACAGTTGTCTGATGTTTCATTCAACCGCGCTTCCTCCGCAACCCAGCGTCCCAGCCCGGTGATATTCAGCGGAATTCGGTGTTCGATCCACAATAAATGCCGCTCCAGCAGTGCGTAGAAATCCATCCGCATATTCCACGACGTATAGCGAAAGGTGGTGGCGTCATTGGCCACAACGACCTCGTTATGCTCATCGCCGATACCGCAGAAGCGGCAGTTGCGCCAGACAAGGCGCTCCACGGCGGCCCGTCCATCGCCCCACGTTTTGGCTAAGAGCCTTATTTCCGTTGGCAGGCGGTCATCACCTAGTTCCCAGCGGCAGCGGTTGACGACTACCTGTTAAAGCAAGTTCCGGGCTTTCTAGTGTTCTACAGAAGAGTTTCAGGAAGAAAGGTTATTAGCCTGCCCTTTACTGCCTAAGGACCCCGATACGCACTGTCCTATTCGATAAGTTTTACTGTTTACAAATTATCTCATTAAAAACTGACCAAGATACAATGGTTCATTTACTTTATTATAATGTGAAATTCGCCAAAGGTTTGTCTAATGGTTCTAAATAAATATTTTCGGTACCGTACATACTTGCAACTTTCTCAGGCGGTTACCGCGCTGCTGGTACACAGCGCTGATCAAGCGCAAGGAATCACCGAGTTCCTGCAGCGTTACGCTTTGTCTGGCGTTAGTAATGACGACCACCTCCGTGGCGGCGGTTAAATACTTGATAATGCCCATGCCCACGGAGCAGCCTGCTGTTCCCGCCTGGTCAAAGGTGAGCGTCAGGCGCTGGTGCGTGGCATCCTGCTTTATGATCGCGTCCCAAAGCGGACTGACGCGGCGGTACAACGGCCGCTCGTTCGTACCAAAACAGGAGAGAATCTCTCGCAAGCGTTCTGGTGGGATAGCGGCGGCCATTCGATGGGAATGCTGAACCGGAGGGCGACGCTGTGAAAACGTTCTTTACTGCTAGCCTGCATTCGTTCATTTATGGTGCACTATGGGCCGCGTAAATTGTAAAAGGCTTTTAATGATTTTGGGAACTGACCCGGCACATTAAATACAAAATTCGTGTACCGCATCGCGAAAACTTTCGCTTTCGCGTAGGTATACGAATCCCAGTTTCTCATTATGGACCGATCTCCTTTAAATTCTGTACATAAATGCACGTAAGTATGAAAACCACGTAAGTATATTATGCTACTGAACCAGAGTAGCATAATATTTTTCAAATTCTAAAATAACCTTTAAACATTATTTTAAATGGCAGGAAAAGACTAGATCATCCCTTGTTACGCGTAAAAATGATCTTCATCCACATAGAGTACGTGCGTTTACATGCAAAACTGAAAGGAAATCGGTTCATAATAAGACCTTTGGTACACCTGTAGCATTTAAACTTTTTGGAATTTTCTTACAGCCATAACTCCCCAACCAGATGTTGCGCGCACAAAAGGCTTCCACAGCACTGCACGACCTTGGTGCCATTTATGTACCGGGTCGCTCCCCTTAAGGTAAATGGCCCGGTACGTGGTATCCAAAATGGGATACATACACTAAAACGTTCGCTTTCGCGCACTTCGAATCACTTTTTTGTGAAATTTTATGTCATTCTAAAGCCAAATGGTTTGTATACATTGTTACGAAAACTGTTTGCGCGCGCGAGATCCGGTTGCCCAGATATGGCGAACTAAACGTTTAATTGCATTGGTGCGTACCAGAAGTCTGGTTATTACCCGATCTTCTTGAAACCTTGCGGTAAAAGACACCTGGCCATAAAGTCGAAAGTGAACCAATTTCAGGTTCATACCGCTTTCCCATAATTTTAAAATGAATTTTAAAATTTTTGAAATTCATTTTACAATCGGAAAAAAATCCTATAAGTGTGATGTTGGTTCGCTTTCGACTTTATGGCCATGATTCTTTTACAGCGAAGCTTCAAGCAGAGCGGGTAATAACCAGATTTTGGGTACGTACACAAAAATGCGTTTAAACTTCTCGCCCGTTTTATTTCGCTATATCTCAGCAACCGAATGCGCGCGCAAACGGTTTTCAGAACAATATATACAAATCATTTAACTTTAGAATGACATATAGAAATACAAAAAAAACTGAATCGGAGTGCGCGTAATCGAAAGTTTCAGTGTATATGTATATCGCATTTTCCACACTATGCATGTACCGGGACATTTTCCTTAAATGCGTAAACGGCTCTACACAGGCTGTATAAAGTCTGTGTGGAATCGTGAACGGGTTTATACAGCGTGCGTGCACCTGCTGTGAACATTAGTAAAACGACAAATGCAGGCGATCAGTACTTACAGTAATTTCAGGCTGGTTTGCGGGAGGTATCCATTGATCACCGCTGAAGGTCCAGCCAGCCTGTAGCCGCCGTGTCATCTCCGCTTTGGCCAGTTCACATTGCCGATTCTGTTATTTACAACACAACGTCTCTTAGGCGGCAAAACTGTGCGTCGCAAGTCCGAAACCCGTAAAAAATAGACGTGTAGAGAAAAATATAATTTAAAAAAATTATTCAACTGCAGCAGCCTATTTAAAGTTGCGCTACTGCATGCAGTTGGATGATAATAATAAGAATATACACCGTATTTATTCACATATACCGTACTAGATCGCCTTCTGATACTGGCGTCGGTTTTGCGGGCGCACCGCTGTTCTGTAGATACAGTAGGGTGCCATTTTGTATACACGTCGGATACGCAGCGCAGTCACGCAGCGACATCAGTCCTTCCACCCACAGATTCCACAGCGCCGGGTCCAACGGCTGTCCTGCTGCATGTTCCGGCGGCAGGGCACAGGCTCGTATGACGTAGTCCTCCGCCCGAACTGGGTGCCCGCCCCTATCGCGGGGCTGAAAACGGACCACCTGGGCGCTAACGAACACAGCCACAACACTCTTACCCAACTGGATTCGAACGTATGCATATTTATTCCATAGGACGCGCCGCGTAAGAAACACAGCCGGATACCACGTCCACGGGCGATCGGCGGCGGTCCGCGCAAGGACGTGAAAGCCGGTCGGAACCACAGGATTATTTTGCCAACCTTTATACTCGGCGTCCCACTCGCTAAATGGAGCAAAATGCTGCTGTCTGGAACTCAGACAGTGCTGTGCCCTCTTCAGAACGACGAACTGAGCGCGGCGGCCGGGAACGCCGAAGTCCACGAGCAGACCCCGGGGGAGGGTGTTGATGACCAGACCGCGCTCAAGGAGCCCATCGGAATTCTTCACATCTACCGCGTTCCATTGGTAGATGCCGGTGTCAGGATAAATCTCACAGGGAAACGAAGAATCTGAGCAATCAAACGATCGGATACCGTTGCTGCACATTGCCGCATCACATCCCCAGATTCAGGCTTACTGCATCGGAAAACCTAGGACATAAAGAGTACTAGAGTAGGATAGACGCTGCGCGCGACTACGCTTTGCGTAATCAACGTCCAAGGGTGAAGCCGAATGCTATTAGATAAATGATTTGATGTTGCATAATGCAAATACAAAGGGCCAGTCCCATAGCCGATCACGTTAACAGTACCACAATAATACAGAATACAAGTTGCAACCCAAACTGGTTGCTCCGGAACGGAAATGTACTGGTACCGGTGCATTGCAAACGTGCATACTTGTAGTACTTCAAGTACAGGAACTTTTAATAGGCGAGTATAGAATTAAACCTTAGAATACAAAAGGTGCAAGCGAGAGCACACTACTGTACAGATAAAATTTAAATACAGGAAAAACAATCAAAATCTCTGCCAACGTGCTTAACGTGTCAACGGGCCTAATAAAGTGTAAACAATTGTCAACGTCAAACTTAATAGCAGTCAAAATATACCGTTACTTTATTAAAGCATTAAGCAGCCTCGTCATTAATGTAAGCTCAGCATGTGCTCGTAAAGTAGTCGTAGAATCTTTTCCATGCAGCTGACGTTCTGTGTCAAACAAGCAAATTACTTTCAGTTCCTCCTGTAAATGGGTAATCTACTTCCTGCGAGTACGACATATATCACAGGACCGGAAACTGCGGCTCTTCGGCCTTTTTTGGTACTCTTTAAAGCTCTCGTTGAACTTTTGCCATGAACTAATGCAGTCGAAATGTTAAAAGTATCAATGGAATTTACCATAGACATTATGACCAAAAAGGCATTTATTTCCATATTTTACCTAATTTTCCGTCCCGGACCACGAAAACATCCAGGAATTCGTTTCGATCCCAGTTGTACTGCTTTCTCCTCAGCCGCCGACACCCTTCTACTCGGACGTAGAACACTGCCGATATGAATGCCGATGCCTTTGGCTCTTCTGTTGCGACCTGGGGTGGCTGGTGCGGTCCACACACATCCCTATTGTAGGACCGCTTACTCTATCTTCACGGCGCTCTTTGACGGAAAATCGGTCCTGTCAACGTCTTTCTCCACACTGAAGAGTCGTTCCTGCACCGTAAAACAGCACTTCCCAGCTTGTGGCTCCACGGTCTCCACCTATGGACAAAATCGCGCTCCTGGCTAGACGAGATATGATTTCATGCTACGCTACAGCGTAAGCTTGTGGATATCCAGCATAATGGCCTTGGATTAACAGATACAGTATGGGGTGCATCCACGGATATATCCGCATTTATGTTTTCAATATCCATATCCATACCATCAGATATCCGCAAAATATTAGGACAAAGGGCTTGGCAGTTGGATATGGAGGTTAGGATATCAGATATGCAGTCCTTATTATAGCGACTAGCGAGCCTATAGAGGAAACTCAGGAAAACAAACACGCAAAATTTAGAATCTGCTCTCCGGTTGGCAAAATCTCATACAAGCAGCCACGCTGCGTACAATTGGCAGTCTGCACACAGACGTCTATCACACACGCTGGCTCACCAGTTAGAAGTAAAATTTATTGCGTTTCTGTCTGATATACAGCAAGAGATAAACACCCAGGTAGATACTAGACACTAGGGTAGATAGCGAGACACTGCCCCAGACAAGCGCGGATGTGGAGTACATACTATAGCAAGAGTGTTATGAATTCAAATAATTACGTTTTATTTGATTGGTCGGTGATAAAGCCGATGATGTAATCGGTAGCCTGTGGGCGGTCTGTGTTCCGAATTTCTAGCTTCTGTGGAGATGAGAATGAGTTTACGGAAATCAGTCGGGCACGGTGCTGCTTCGCAGCCACCCGCATTTCTTCAATTGCTAATAAACTTCGATGTGAAAGCTTTCTTTCTTTCGTTCGTTCGATCGTTCGTTCGGAATGACCTTTCGTCTTCCTGATTCCTGTAATTCCCTGAACTGTGTAACGTCTGCATCTTTGACCACCACTTTCGGTTATTGTGCGTCGTGGCGCGGCGTGTAGCCAACCCACAGTAAACGGGGGCCCATCATCAGCCTTCCGTTGTATGGCGCTCTCTGGAGTCTGGACTTTGAAGTCGTAAAGAATTTCCTTTGGAACCTAACGTAGAAGCGGACTGGACCTTGATACAGCATCGTAGTGTGAAGCGTATGTCCAGTGGATTCCCAGACTAAAGCGACCAGCAGCAGATCAGTGTTCTTCGGGATCAGACGCAGTCGCGTACCGTATTTCCTGAGCAGACTACAAGCGGTGGAAACAGCAGGAGCTGGCACGTAAGAGTAAGCACTGTTATCCCAAAATTATTGCGGAAATATTCGTGAAGATCTCGAGCATATTTTATTCGGAAAGGCCTGCGTATTGGGAAGAAGTCTGGTACTCGTATGCAAGACTGGCATTAAAACAGTATGATTGTGGTAATTTATGTGTACTGGATCGTATGCGAGAACTCAGGTCTGATCGTATGAATATTTATCAATTCTCTGTGATCATTTCGTACGAAAGTGGTCTGAATTTGTCCTGCATCGTATGATTTTGAGAAAAATACGTAAAGGGCATAGGTTTCGTTTCTCGTGTGAGATTTCAGAAGCGTACCTGGACGTGCAGAATTGTGCATTTGACTGAAGATCGTAGATCGTGATAAGCGAGCGTCGACATGTCTGATTCAGAGCAGACAGCAAGCGAAAGCATCGAGAGAACAAAAGATGAGAAGCGGCGGGCAGAACGTAAAGCGATCGTTGACTTATCGAGGCAGCTGAAGCGTATGGAACTAGCAAAGAAGACCTTAAAGCCTGGTGATAACGTAGAAGAATTTCTGGACGACTGGTTAGATCTTATGCAGGAAATAAATGCGAATATGGCAGAAGAGGATAAAGTGGCAGAGATACGTAGAGCAGTTGACAGTAATATGGAATATCGAAGATTCTAAGCGATTGCAAATCTGAATACAGTATCAGAAATGCGCAGTCTCTTATGTAATCTAGCGCGCACTGAACAGTCGAAAGTCAAAGAAAGTGCACAAGTCGGTGCAATTAAAGCGTATGATCAATACAAGCGAGACGGAGGCAAATCATTTGACAAATCTAGATCTTTCAGTGAACGTAGTGGATCTCTTAATTGGGATAATAATTATGATAATTATCGTTACAATAATCGTTATAATAACAATGAAAGAAATTCGTATGATAATCGTGGACGATCTAATCATTACAGTTGCGAACGTAGCGGAAGTCGCATTCGTAATAATAGTAGCTTATGGATTCAACAGAACGGGAACGTAACGTGTTGAAAGGGGTCGAAGCGTACAGTAGTGTACAGTTCGGAAGATTCAGTGAAGTTCTTTGGACCTGTCATGTGGACTGTGGACAGCGATGGAATCCCGTAGTGGATCAAGCGTATGGAGATGGAAAAGAAGGAAACCTGGATTGGACGGAATGCAGTGAACGGATAGTGGACAATTCGGGTTGGATCGGTATGGATCATCCGTGGATTTTCATTAACTGTTTAATTTTTTGTAGTTTCTTTGTGTTTTCCGTCTTGGTTAATTGGGTAATTAACCGCTTATGGCGGGGATATAGCAAGAGTGTTATGAATTCAAATAATTATGTTTTATTTGATTGGTCGGTGATAAAGCCGATGATGTAATCGGTAGCCTGTGGGCGGTCTGTGTTCCGAATTTCTAGCTTCTGTGGAGATGAGAATGAGTTTACGGAAATCAGTCGGGCACGGTGCTGCTTCGCAGCCACCCGCATTTCTTCAATTGCTAATAAACTTCGATGTGAAAGCTTTCTTTCGTTCGTTCGATCGTTCGTTCGGAATGACCTTTCGTCTTCCTGATTCCTGTAATTCCCTGAACTGTGTAACGTCTGCATCTTTGACCACCACTTTCGGTTATTGTGCGTCGTGGCGCGGCGTGTAGCCAACCCACTAGTAACGGAGGCCCATCATCAGCCTTCCGTTATAATACGTACAACCTATGTATGCTGACGCTACCTGCTGGAATTGCTACTACATTCCGGGTGGCCCATCAAAATGGTGGTCTCAGTTTTTGTTTTGGTGTTCGTGAACCACTTGTTGTACACCAATTTTTTTAGGTATATTCAATCACAAAATTTATTAGCCGCTGAAAGCAACAAAAAACTTTTCGAAAAAGTTGTGAAACGCCCGCGAAAAATTTATTACCCATAGCGAACTATTTATTTCTTTCAATTGTTTCATTCATGTACAAAAGGACGTTCATTACGGCCGAAAAAATATGGTTTCCACGGGGCATGCAATGGATGAACAACACTCGATTTATTTTTTGAAAAATTGCCGGGTTTTGTTTAGTTTTTTTAATAATTTTATTACAATTTTATGCTGCATGTCAGGCTGCAACAACCGATCAACATATTAATTATGTTGATTTAGGTGTTAAATGTTGCTAAGCTATTGCCCTTATGAAAGCAAAGTTCTACTCAGATCCGCTCTTGGAGCGTTGTTGAGAAATTCATTTTCGTAAAAGCTGGTGAAGAATTCCGTGGAAATTAAATGTGCGGCGTTCCGGCTCTCCGGTTTCTGGACTGAGCGAGGTGACCAGAAAATCGTACCTTTTAATAGTGGAAAAAAGAAGAAGCAATCGCTCCTACGTACGTACGTACGTAGGAGCGATTGCTTCTTCTTTTTTCAAAATGTCGTACTCGTACTTGGGAAGTTCACATAAAAGCTCTCTGCAGGTTCGAATGTGGTGTCACATTTTCCATTGGTTTAAACTGGTACTACATTTGACCTGAATATCTCTGCCAGTTCTAAGTTCGAACCGGAAGTTTGAATACTGCGTAGTAAGGAATTCTTATTCTTTGTTGTGTCAGTTGGAAAAGGGTACGCACAGAATTAGCGATTCAATGAACATTCATCTCATCAGACGCTGTACGTCTTACAACATACTACTGAAGCAAAAACAGCAAAAACAGGGGATAGGCACTATGGTAGTCCACAGTCGCACAGCTACGACTTACGGTTATAACTAAAAATAAAATGCGTGGCAAAAAACGGAAAACTGTACTTTTGAAGTATAACAAAAACAGGACTACTCGGCGAAAAAAGCACTATTTTGCCAATTCGTTGTAAGCCAAGACCGATGTCATTTTTAGCAAACCAATAACAAAATAGAATTCCATTTCCGTTGTGTTCAGAATAATTGCTGCTTTACACTGATGCCGATTTCCGCTTCTGTTTTATCGTACCACTCCGTCTTCCAGTGCAGCACGATAACATTGCGCCCTTGTAGACGCTCCACCAAAAAGCGCTGTTTGTTTTTTGAGACTGGGAACGGAAATCGACGAACTGCAGTGCCCAGTGGGACGTATGGATGGCGACCAGCTCCAGCTGTTCCATGCATTGCCAAAGGGCAGCGTCGACGCGGGCAGACAGTTTCATGGGGTACTGATAAGCAAAGCGGTCCCGACACAGGTGCGAAGCATTTCTCACAGTGAATGTAGGTTGCATTCTGCAACATATGTATAATGTGCGCACGCAATTCTAATTCTGACTAAAAGGTGTGTGACATCTAACGCACATGCTCCAGCTTACCGGATGCTCTTCTTCCATGTGTTTCGCAATATCGGTGTAAAGCGGAGTCTTTGCACTCCAGCCAATATTCAATTTTTCCACTCCGTTCTTCTTCCTCACTTGAAAGAAAGCACCACTGGTAACTGCACTGGTACAGAAAAACGTCGCATTTTAAAATATTAGTTAAGATAATGCTTTTGCCATTAAAAAAACTCGCGTGACGCTACTGGTTCTTAAGCGCGAAATGTTAACCGAAAGATCTTGAAGTGCGGTTATGCTTGCTGTATGTACTACTTCCCGTAACAACACAATATATCATCAGTGATGGCATCTTACAGTATGTTATTATACAGCGATCAAAACAGGTCAGCACAACTTCATGTAAAGAAACGTTTGTTCAACTTACTTCATTAACAAATGATGGGTTTCGTTGCGGCAGGTGGTTTTAACTGCACAACGGTTGCATTGACAGCAGCCCCAGTCGTTTCTTTTTCCGATTAGTCCAGGCAGTCCGCAGCTCTGGAATAGTGTCTACCAACTAGGCAGACAAACTTGCATTAGTGTAACTTGTTATATGAGCGCTGCGTACTTAAATCAAGCAAATCACTCAATAACGCAGGCATTGTGTGACCCAGCACTTCTTAATAATAAACCAACACACTCATGCATAAGGTCATTAGTTTAGCCAGGCTACCTCGTTCCTTCGCTCGAGTAACGGTTCAGCCCAGGAGCAGACATATTCTGCCGCAAGATGGTCTTTTTTCACGTGAGGAGGTTTCACCAAGCCAGGTGGAAGAACAACGCAATCAAAGAATTCCTTGGTCACTCCCATATCAGCCATGATGCCGACATAAGATTTAATTAGTGCCGGAGATTTAAAGTTCCAATTGGT